AGAGAGAGATGAACTGCTGTTATGCTGGATATAGGAGCCGGCCAAGTAGGAAAAATTTCCAATGTGTTTTTGAAGGCCGAAGGGAATTACACTATTTAAAACAGGAGAGCAGACAAAATGCGACGGAAATCAAAGTGCAAATTAAGAAGAAGTGTGACAGTATGTTGTATTAATAAAAAAAGAGGGTATTAGTGTGTTATCGAGATTTGCAAGTGAGAACTTCTTATGCAGAGTTGTCATGAACTGACTAACTGTCTACTGACGTGTGTTTACGAGGGACATTAATAACAGTGCAAATCTCCCTTACTTTAATATATATTCATATGTGGTTGTTATTGATTTCTGAAGAGAATTGTGATTTGGGAAGAAAGTGCCGCAGTGTGTGGAGGCGTACACAGCTGTATAAAATACCCTTGGTGGTGTAAGTACTGCGGGCACTTACATTCTCCAAGAGAATTATATTCTTTTACCAATCAAGAGCTCAAGAAGTGCGAAATAAGAATAAGAAGTATGTTGCGTGTTGAGTTATTATGGAGTGTCCCATTTTCTTTAAACTTTATGTCCTTGACTGCTGTATCGATTTATATTTTCTGTTACATTTGAGGGTAGACTAGTTTAAGGAAGAGCCAGGATGTAAAGGATTTTTCTTGCGCGGGGGATATTACATTTTTTTTTCAATTTTGCCGCGGAAAACATCATTTTGTGCTGCCCATATTGCTGCGGCACGGATCTTGCGGTACGAATGAATGAGCAATTGCGCGGGGAAAGCGTAAAAAAAAAGGGAAAAGAAAAGAAAAAAATGCCGGAACGATAATTTTAAAAAAAAAAAAAAATAAAATTAAAAAAAATAAACTAAGCATCGCGGGGAAAGTTACTCAAGAAACTAAACATTGCGCCGGAACAGAATTTGACCGCCAATTATTTTTTGCGCGAGGACATCGCGTTTTTCCCGCGCAGACCAAACTTACAGCATGTGAAATTGTTTGTTTTATACACATTTTTCTGAATCGGAAATGGAAATCATATAGTTTCTGCTGTGTCCTTCCCACTCCCACGTGTTTCCAATTAAATATAATATATATATATATATATATATATATATATTTATAATATTATTTATATATATATATATATTATAATATATATAATATATAATCCAATTTTAATATATATTATATATTAATATAATATATATAATATATTATATATATAATAATATTAATATATATATATATATATATATATATATATATATATATATATATATATATATATATAGGAGAATTTTGTGTTGGGGTGGCACGGGCAAAGCACCTTATGATGCCTCCTCCCAAGGACTAAAAAGTTAATACGACAGCCAAAGATACGTACTTGCCATAAGCGACGGGGTCTTGGGTGAGTTTCAAGAGCAAGGCAGCCAACTCTTTCGGGTGATATTGGCGCGCATCAATGTAGGAATTCGGGGGCAAAAACCGGCTATAATTAGAGCCTGCCATAAAAAAAAGAAACGTAGATTATTTCACTGAAAAAAATGCGTTTCCCCAGATAAATCAGCCTATATGAAAATAATTTACTGTGATCAATTTAAAAGAGAATATTCAACTGATAAAAGATGCAAGTTGGGACCAGGCTTCTGAAAACCGCGACTTCAGCTTTAAATCTATGATAAAAATGCCATACCTTTCCATATCGGTTTAAGTCTTGCCTCGGAAAATAAGTAAGATGATTTTTTTCAGCTTTTCTGACATCATATTTCATTTTCAGAAAATAAAAAACAGAATATTTCGTAAAGAAAAGAAAAAAAAAAAAGAAATCTCACACGAACTTCCTCAGTAATCAAACCATTTAACAGTAATTTTTAGATTACCATCCCTCTCCCTCATGACGTACACACGAAACCCAATAATTACACGTCGTTAAACAATTCCTTCACTATAACAACCACTAACCTCCATAAACCACCGGAACAAGGTTGTATTTCATGGGATTGTAAAGTTTCTCCGTGATGTACTGGTCGCACAGGTTGTTTTCCATAGCCATGTAGAAATGGTAGTCTTTCAGGACTTCCACCCAGCAGTCAGGTTGCAGCGGGTGCCTGCTCTTGCATGCCTGGGAACCGCAAGTCCCGTACCTGCAAACACACCAAGGCGCTATCATGCGGATTGGATATAGGAACTACATTAAGGTTTTCCTGAGGTCGGTGGAAGGGTTTCAAGGGACCCGAGAGGATCAGATAGAAATTGGCATTTATATTAGTTTTATTTTCTGGATTATTTGATTTAGAGTTTATTAATTACTACCACACCACCAACCCTTCCCCTCAACCCACCACCACCACCTAACCTTCCGCCTCCCACTCCCCCACGACCACACCACCAACCCCTTCCCTCCCCCAACACCAACAACCCTTCCCTCCCCTACACACCCTTCCCTCCAACACAACAACCCCTTCCCCTCCCTTCCCTACCACCAACCCTTCCTACCTCACCCCTCACTTCCCCACCACCACCCCCTTCCCTTCCCCTCACCCCCTTCCTCCACTTCCCTACCACCTCCCCCACCACAAACCCCTTTCCCTTTCCTCCACCACTCCAAAGCCACGAACCTCCACATGTCGACAGGGATATGCTTGGCCAACTCCCGCACATACTCCTCCCTCCTCGAAATGGTGGGGCAGTGGCTAGACATCCAGGCGACGACTTTGGGCCTCCTGACGAAGCTCCTCCAGGAGGGCCCCATCACCTTTGCCAGCGTGGTGTTCCTGGCCAGCGCCTCCCGGTACCTGGCGAGGGCGTCGACGTGGTTCTCGATCAGGTTAGGGCGGACGGGCCTGGGGGGTAAGTGGGCGTGAAAGAGGACGGGAAAGTGGGCATTAAAGTGGACGGTAAAGTAGTCGCTAAAAATAAAATAGATAAAAAAATGTAATCAAAATGTAATTCAACTTTTAATAATAGATAAAAGATAACAGAATAACAGATAACAGAGGGAAGGAAGAACAATATATTTATGCACAACGCACATATGTACACACACATACACACATATATATATATATAATATATATATATATATATATATATATATATATATATATATATATATATATATATATAGAGTAAGGAGAGAGAGAGAGAGAGAGAGAGAGAGAGAGAGAGAGAGAGAGAGAGAGAGAGAGAGAGAGAGAGAGAGAGAGAGAGAGAGAGAGAGCCAGAGAGAGAGAGAGAGAGACAGACAGACAGAGAGAGAAGACAAAGAAAGAAAGACGCGCGAGAGAGAGAGTGAAAAAAACAACAACAACAACACCGCACACCTCTCAATCCCCACACTCCACGCCACCACGTATACATTACTGGAGACTAGCATTCAACGAGCGGAAGTATCCGTAGAAGGCCACGACGTCCGCCCTCTCGTGGTAAGTCATAGTCCAGTTGATGTGATGACTCATGTTGGAGGCGGCGAGTCTGGCAAGGGTACTTCCTGTCAAGGGCGCCTCCACCCCTGCCCATACCCACCGCTGCCAGGGCTTGCGAGTCTTCGGGAACATGCCCTGGTTGAAGCTGACGAGTGGCAGGGTAGAGTTAGAGTTCAGGCTTTTCACCAAGATAGATAGATAGATAGATAGGTAAATAGATAGGCCGTTAGAGAGAGAGAGAGAGAGAGAGAGAGAGAGAGAGAGAGAGAGAGAGAGAGAGAGAGAGAGAGAGAGAGAAGAGAGAGAGAGAGAGAGAGAGAGAGAGAGAGAGAGAGAGAGAGAGAGAGAGAGAGAGAGAGAGAAGAGAGAGAGAGAGAAGAGAGAGAGAGAGAGAGAGAAGAGAGAGAGAGAGAGAGAGAGAGAGAGAGAGAAGGAGCGAGAGATAGAGAGAGAGAGAGAGAGAGACAGACAGAGAGAGAAAGAAAGAGAGAGAGAGAGACAGAGGCAGACAGACAGACAAACTACTGACTATTCCACGGGAGAGACCTATTATTGATGAGTAAAATCCTATCAAGGATGAGTAGATCCCTTTCAATAATGAATAGAATCCTATTAATAATGAGTAAAACCCTATTAACAATGAGTAAAGTCTCAATAACAAGTAGAGTCCTATCATCAGTGAGCAAAAGTTCTATCAATAGAGAGTAAAGTACAGGGGAAGATGAATGGTAAAGATAAAGATGAATAAACATCATATTAATAATAAGTAAAATACAGGGAAAGATAAATGATAAAGATAAGATGAATAAACATTCTATTAAAAATAAGTAAAATACAGGGGAAGGTTTTTTAAAAAGATAAAACGAATAAACATCCTATCAATAATACGTAAAATACAGTGAAAGATAAATGATAAAGATAAAGATGAATTAATTTCATCCTATCATAATCAATAAAATACAGAAGACAAATGATATTAAAAACAATTCCCCAAATCGATTAAAAAACTTTTGTAGTCACTTAATGCTAACCAAAACTTCACCAACAACGCCACCAATAAAACATTAACGTCCTTGCCATAAGGAAGAATGACAAAAAAGAAAAAGAAAAGAAAAGAAAACAAAGAGACTCCTTTTTGTCTCTTTTTTTTCTATCTGTCATTCTTTTTTTTCTTTTTTGTCTCATTTTTTTTCCTTTTTGTTCTTTTTTCATTCTTTTTTTTTCAACTTTTTTTCTCATTTTTTTTTTTTTTTTTTTTTTTGTCATTTCTTTTTTTCCTTTTTGTTCTATTTTTCTTCTTGTAATATGGTCTTTTTCCTTTTATTGTCCATCTCTCTTTTTTTTCTTCTTCCTTTTCTTCATTTCTTTCTTTCCTTTCTTATGTTCATTTTCTTTTTTCCTTTTAACTGAGTTATCTTATTCTTATTTCCTTATTATTGTTCATCTTATATCTTTTTCATTGTCGATGTTTTTTTTTCTTCTTTTCTCTTTTGTCTCATCTTATTCTTTTTTATGTTCTTTATTTTCTCTCTTTTTTCCACTCTCATTTGTCTTCTCTTTTTTTTCCTTTGTACAAGCAGACTTCTTT